TAAAAAAAAAAAAGGCTTGGCAGTTAGACTGAGGCGAGAGACAATAGTAAGCCATGCCCCTTTCTTAAGGCACATGGCTGGTGTCCCCCACCCTCCCCTCAGGGCTGTAGTTTCTCTGTTGCGCCGTAGAAGATGGCTAATAAAGAATTATCCTTGGCTATTGAATGAGCCCGTTCAGCCACCCAGGAAGTATTTCAGCCTCGCATCGCCCGGCTGTATTGCATGCGACTATTGTGCCGAGGACAGCGCCAGTGGACCCTGGCTGGAGCCACCAGCGCTTCCAGACCCTCGAGTTTCCTCTCCTTGCCTAGCGTTTTCCCCTCTGCCAGCGTCTTGGTGGAAGAGGGGGTGGGAAAGTAGCGGCATGGGCGATGGGGTGTGGGTCTCATGGTGCACATCCTTTTCTTCTGGGTGCTGTCGGGGAGTATATTGCATAATACACAAATTGCAATAAATCCAAGCTTTGAGGATGGCCACAAACCTGAAATGCAGCCTTAAAAATCTATGTGACACTCGAACTCTGTTTATTAAATTGAGTGGGGTGGACCTTCCTTGATGCTGCCTGCGGTCTGTGATGTGTGGAGACGGACTGTCCCCATATGCAGGTCCGTGGGCTTCAGGAGCCCTCCTGCCCCATGCAAGGGCTGGGGACCTTCAAACTGAGGTGTCTGAAATGGGGTGGGAGGAACCACTCCTCAGCTGTTCAAAGATTTGTTGACTTTCTGTAATTGCACAGTATTTTTTCCTCTTACTTGATCCTGTGAGGTCAAATTTTCAAGACAATTCTTGGAGTTTTGTTGGGTTTTTCTTCTCTTAAGAGGAAAGAGAGAGGTTTTGAGTTTTATTCTTCCTAAGCTTAACTTCTTGTGAAAAATACCTGTCACCAGTGAAAGTGGTTTTGGGTCCAGGAAGGGATTTAGTCTTGAAATAAGAGACCTGCCAGATAGGTGGGTAGTGAGGGGTCTTCTCTGAGCTGGCAGGTAGGCCATGCTTCAAGTGTCTGTTTGACATGGGCAGGGCTGAGACAGCAGTCATGTAGCTGGTGGATTCACTGCCATTGAGCCCTTGGAGGATTGGTGCTTCTGCCTTTATGTGGAGCTGGTGTAGATTTGTCTTGATCACGGAGCAGAAAAAAATGTTCAATATCCTAAGCTCTTTGCAGAACCTGCAGACTGTTCTTTGCCTCCTCCTAACATGATTGTTACAGGCTGAGCCTTTATTAACTACAGCCAGTTGCTATATAAGCCATTCTTTTCTTTTGAATAATGAAGAAAAAATACCATGCTCTTCAGCTACATATATTGGATTGTTTCATAAACAACAAAGATTAAGGTAGAAAGCACCTCTGAGAACTTGGCTCTCCTTTGGTGCCATGGTCCCCCGTCATAACTGCAGAGGGAGGTGGCATTTGTAAACATAGCTTAGTAAGAATTCTGACTTGCTTTGCTCCTTTGTGGTGGTCTGGGGAGTGTACAGTCTGGTCCCAACTGTCTCGCCTGAATTGTTGATTAGCAGCTGTTTGAAAAAGTATGCTGGGCTAGAAATTGTAGCCAGAAATGCTTTTCCTTTAACCAGCATCACTATAGCTGTATTTCAGGTGGCAAGAACTGTCTGTACTAAGACATAATTCTGCTTGATGCTAGCTCAGTGATACTGTAACAAAGTAGTGATACCATTGTGTGATATCTTGAAAATCTTTTTGATATTGGGGGGTTCAAGGGCTAAGGAATCAGTCCTAATTAGCCAGCAAGGTAAGTTTAAGGGAATGTAAATGCAGGAAAGGCAGGTCCGTGTATACTACCTGGAATTTCATACATTAGGACAGGAGAAAGGGTGTGGCCAGAATGCTTTCACTGCTTATGATTTCTGGTGTTTGCAATGGCTAGCTGATTTCTCGATTTCTCACTGCTGACATGTTTAGTTGCCTGAAGGATGTGGACAATTTAACAGCAAACTAGCCATTTGAGGTCCTCTGGACAGGAGTGTGCAAAGGGGTGTAACACCACATACATCCCTTGCCTTGTTATGAGATTGCATTGAGGCTAGCATGCTGAACACCAGTGTTAGTGATTCAGAAACCATACGACTGATGTGTGCATTTGTAAATCCTGTTGTAAGAGGTCTGAATATTGATACTGGAGAAAAGAGGGGCCTCTAATGTACATGACTTGTAGGGTATGTATATGGTGCCATATTTGGAAATGAGGATTTAACAGTGCCATTCTTCACATAGCTTTTCTGCTCTTAACTCCTCAAATAGGAAGCAGTAACAGATGTTAATTGTTCTGCCTGGTTCTTGGATGGTGTAAACTGACATCTTCTCCTTGGACTTTTAGCAGTATCAGTAGCTTGGCTGTTGCTTTAGTGGAGGTCATACAGGAACAGTAGAAAGCCTGCAAATGTTACCTGTTTGTCAAGCTGAAGTGGACAAGGTACTTCTGACTTGCTGGGCAGAACATCTTATTGCACATTTTTTTGCAGCATCCCTGTTCTTCAGCCTAACTTCTGTCAAGAACTATCCCAATTGTAACAGTAAGGGAATTGTGTTCACTTCCCTGCACAGCATATAGAAAGCAGAAGGAAATTTCTTAAGGGTGTCTTAATGCTAAAGTTAGATCTGTCTAGATGGATACCTATACCCATTGTTTTGGGGGATGTAAGGATATTATGATGACATAGGTACCTTAATTTCTAGACAGAAAGGCATGTGGTAAGTATTGCTTGCTTCTGTAACTCTTACTCGTTGGAAGTGAGCTATCTTGATATGCTGCAGTTCCAGTATGACCTTGTTACTTGATAATTTTGCTGAAGCACCTACTTCTCAGCAATGTTTTGCTTTCTAATTCAAAAGCTTAGGAAAGGCATCGAGAGCTTGTTTATTCAAGAACACTTTAACAGTTCTGAGGAACGATTTATATTATTGTTAAAATGGCTCAGGCAATGTGCCTTGTAGACTTTTTGCAGACTGTATTGGATTACTGAGTAAAATCACTTCTTAAAATATCCCTCATCATCCAGACTATCAATTGTACATGTTTTTTCTGAAGAACATGATAATTTTATAGGCCCTGTGAAATCATTAGAGGTAGGTTGCCTACCAACCTTGCAACTGGGGCGGGGGATATGACTAGAGCTAGAAAGTGGAGGGAATCCTGTTTAAATGAGCCACAGACTGGTGGTGTAGTTAGGAGTTGAGTTATTAACTTTCTGATATGTGACCCTACTTAGATTTATACACAGCATTTCTTAACTCAAAGCTCAGTTGACTGTAGTAGCCTATTATTATCATACCTTTTGTGTTCTGAGGACCAGCTGTTCCTTGGTACTACTGGTAATGTCAAGTAGCATCTGTTGATAAACTTACTAAGCAGTCCACAGTAGCGAAGAAATACAAGAGCATCCTCTGATGTCCATGTGGGTGTCTCGGGTATGGTAAAGGGCTGAGCTAGTGAGATCTTGAATACCTGCCTCCCTTCAAAAGTTTATCCCTCTGGAGAAGAAATGTGTAGTAGTAGCTAGCAGAGGATCGGGGATGCTGCTCAATAATAGCTTTCAGATCATTCAAGTGTTAAACTGGCATGTTTACCTTCTTAAGACTTGTAACTGGCCTTCCATGTGCAGGAGAAGTGTGCTTTGAAGAGGTAAGCATTGTGCTGACTGATATCTGGGCCTGTCTATTCAGTGAGATCCTCTGTATGGTTTGAACTGTTGAGGGTTGTTGGAGTTTGTCTCTCGGCCTTCCTATGAAACTGCATCTCTAGCTGCAAAGCACTGAGGGAAGACCTACTTAGATGCTTCCTTTTTCCACCTTCATGTTCCAGCTGGAAGTGACTGAGTGGAAATATAAGCCCAAAAGCAGCTTTGTGAAGGGAGACACTTCCCTAAGATCAGTGTTTGCGCGGTCTTCAGAACAAAATACTCCTATTTCCCACCAGAAACAACTTGTTAGCACTCTATTACATTGCCTAATTAATTTTTATGGAAAATGAAAATTCTAATTTGTGAAACTGAACTTTGGCTTACTTCAGATTAAAACAATCTAGAATTAAAACAACAGAAGCCTTTCTGAGTTCTGAAATACAAATTGGGTTGATGTTTTAGTAAACTAACCTGATAACTATTTTGAGAAAAATCTTTGTAATGAAAAATTTGGTGCCTTGGATGATGCCAGAATTCTCAAGTTTTACTTTGAAAAATTCTGGTGAATGGATGCCAGTTTCCAAAGTTCAAGTTTATCAAGTGTAGTTCACTAGAAATGTTTCTGATCAAAGAACTTGACCACAATGAGTTTTGTTTTATACAGAAAGGATATTGTTCTCCGTGCTGTTTTTCAACTGGAGTTACACATTGTTCAAGTGATAGGCTAATGAAGGATAGTTCCTTACCTTTTTTCCCCACTACTCTCTTCCTGCTCTGTGATCCTTCCCTTCAGAGTACAAACTTCAATTGTCCAGGTAAATGTTAATGAGTTTGTAGCTGGCTATGCAGCTGGAAGGGATATCTGCAGGTTTAGTTAGTTCAGTCATAAACTGAACAATCTTTTTTTTTTTTTTTTTTCAACCTACATATTCAGTACTCTTATTCTTCTCATGGCTTTCTTGGAATGAAAACTAAGGAACTTGTTTTAGTTCAGTGCTGTAAATAGCCAAATTATTTGGGGGGTGGTGGGAGCCCTACAAAAAGCCTACTTCCCAGAGGTCATGACTGAGGAACTTCAGCAGTTTGGGCCTCTTAGTCTTTCTATGTAACTACAGAAAAAAATGCCTTTTCTTGGTACCTTTTTGAAAATATAGCTGAGAGTCAGGAAAGTAGACTTTTTTCCTGGTTTGACCACACACTGCACCTGGTGTCTCCCAGCACTGCAGT